AGTCTTCTGAATCCTCTCATAAGAACTATTGCTACTCTTAAACCCAATTTTGTCCATGCAGCACAATTCCCAGGAGATATTTTGTTAAAACCTACCCCTTTCAGCTCTAGCTTTCTGTGCGTGCACCCTTGCTGTCGGTTAGCCAGCACGTTCTTCCCGTCGAACGGGCTTGAACTAGACAAACAAGGCTTAAATTGGCTAAGGGCCGTAGCGTTTAGATTCACCAACTGGATGAGCCAAACTTTGGACCAACTGATTGCTACTCTAGTGTCTTGTGTTGTTTTGCGTCTGTCACTGTCTTGCGTCGTCAGGCTAGCTGGTCTATCTCCTTTTCTGTTATGCTAGACTTCCTCGGTTAATGGGTAATCTAAATTTCTGTTTAAAACTGCACTGACATTGCTCTCTTTTAGTATCGAGTACTCAGATGAAATGGAGGCTTTTCACAAGATTTTCCAATACCTTGAGGACTACACCATACGCATGGATAAGTCAGGTAGGTGTGTTTCTGTTTTACGCTTTCTCTCACCTGCTTATCCTAGCCGCTTGGCCAACCAGGCAGTTCTCGAACCCTTACTGGTGTGACTTTTCATCTGGCGGTTCTTGTCTTCTTTAATGTGGTCTCATAGCCGTGGTGTACTTAACCAGAATACGTATTTCATTTTTACTGAGGGCGTTAGCCACTTCAGCCAGAAGGAGCAATTAAAGGTCCTAAGACCCAAATTCCTGTATCTGTGCTCCGCAAAACAAGGCGTATGATCATACTGCTGCTGTTGAGAACATAAGGTTTGGCCAGTTGCGTCTCGCCTTCAACCTCAGAAATTTTACGTCATTTTTTGCCATTCCTAAGGACGTGGATTGGCCTTCCACTTCAGAATTCTTTCTTAATATCTCCAGGTTTTTTCGCCTTCGAAGATTCCCCTGTGTGTACCACTTTTTTTTCCTGTGGAGCTGCTTCTTCATCATGACTTACTTTTTTGTGTCTAGAAATGTGGACCTGCATCATGCAAGTCGCTGTTCAAGTTTTTCAACGTTATCTTCAACGCCTCAGCAGTATGGTACGTCCTGGTATCTTTTATATTTGCACAACCTACTCAGTGTACACACCGTCGTAGAGTTTGCAGTGGTGAGTGCAGTAGCAGTTTGACTGGCTGGCGACGGCTAATAAGCCAGCAATAGCCATCTTGGTCGCTCCTTTTCCTTGCCTGTAGTGTCCTGCCTATACCTTTAGCCGCCTTGCGGCGTAGGCTTGAGTGTGAGCTCTACGGGCACCATGTCCTCTAACTGATCAATGAACGCCTATCCGCTACTATATATATATATATCCGTCTCGTTTTTTAGCGGATGGATTCACAGCGCGAATACATTGTTGATACGCATGCACAGTTTTTGCTGGTAAAATTCAACCATATTCAGAAGGGTGTTCGTATCGTGGCTGATCAATTTCTCGCGGATCTCGCAAGGGCGTGAGTTTATGCTAAATTTCATGTTTTTGATCTTGTTGCCTATCCCAATAAAAATAATGACGGCAATGTTCAGTGCTACTCCCACTCCTTCCTGTGTTCGCCAACTTCTGTGAATATAATAATTAGATTCTCAAAAACGATCTTGTTCAAAATAACAACAGGACTGCATTTAAGCCGGCAGAATCAGTCTACGCACCCGATGCTGCTATAGGTAGCTCTTAGTTACGCTCTAAGCGACTGAGTAGTCCCAGTCTTCTCGGCTTACTCCGCATTCTTGACTAGTTTGGGCGTGGCGTAACTTTGTGCACGTTATGTTACAATAACGTGAGGATTGACGTTTATAAAAATTGGCCCTGACAACTCCAGTTTCTAGACCCCTCAGGCTCGGCTTTAATAGTGAACAGTGACCATTCCTGGCATATTTAGCCTAACCAGCCTGGTAAGTAGACTCAACTATCGCGTCGCTGTTTAGTCTGCTCTGTGGATGAATAAACGTGGACGTAACTGCCCGCGTCTCTGCATCTTATTACGACAATAATTAGCAAGTTGTCAGTTATCTTCCTTGCCAGAATCGCTCAGCTTGTGTCGTGTTTTTTG